GGAGGCTGGCGGGGGAAAGTGCCTTAGCAGGGGCTTCAGGGTCTCTGGAGATTCGCACACCATGTCCAGCCCCACCCCCAGGCACCTGCCCCCTGAGAATCTGATGTGCACCCCACCCCACCCCACAGGGTGAGAGCTGAGCAGGTCCCCGGCTGGAGAGTGCAATCATAGGACCAAGGGGAATCCCTCGCTGACCAGACTGCTGGGATTTCTAGAGTCACAGGTAGAATTCTGGGGCTTTCCAGCCCGAGCACTTTCAACAACACACGGCGAGCCCTGGGTTGGAGTGCTGAGGTCTGTTCAGACTATGATCTCCTCGGTCTTAGCTTGTGGCTCCTCCACGGGCAACGGACAGGTGTCGAGAGGGGTGGCTCCTGGCCAAATTGGCCTCCCTCCAGCCTCCTGCCTGCATTATGCATGCCCATTACGCTCGCACTTGACCGCACATGACAACAGTGCTATCTCAGGCAGGCGCCATAGCCAAGGAGAAGGGGGCAGGCGCACGGCAGGGGACTGATGCAGGTGGGGTGATTTGCACCTGCTTTCACATGCTTCTCACATCTCCGGCAGCTCCACTGGACACTGGCCCCTGCACATGACTCTTGTTTTTCTTCATGGCACGTAGGCCGTCGCGTATTGTTTATTTATCTGACGTGGTTGCCGCTGTATTCCCGTTTCTAGAACAATGCCTGGCATACACAGGGTGGGGCAAAAGTAGGACCACAGCTGTGAGTACACACAACAGTTTAGTCTTGCATTATTATTTATTATTGTATTGTTTTCCATGGGAACAACGGTAGGCCTGCTTTTGCCCCATCCTGTAGATGCTAAATAAATATCTGTTAGGTAAACGCCCACATTGTTGCACTTGAAGGTTCTCAGCAACTTAACGTGGTACAGGGGGCAGAGGGCGCTGCCCCTTAGTTCCCAGATGTGCAAACCGAGGCCCAGAAGCCCGGCTTCGCTAAGTCGCCAGGGAACCGAGGGAGCCCCAGGCCTGAGCCCTAACCAGGGGCTGCATGTGGGACGGGCGTGGAGAGGCTCTTCACACCCTCGGCCTGGGCCCAGACCTGCGCAAAGTCTCACTGGGACATGCAGATTCCAACCACAAGGAGGCCTCTCCTCGCACCTGTCAGAATGGCCACCATCAGTAAATCCATAAACAAGTGCTGGCGAGGATGTGGAGAAAAGGGAGCCCTCATGCACTGCTGGCGGGAACGCAGACTGGCGCAGCCACTGTGGAGAGCAGTATGGAGCTCCCTCCAAAATCTAAAAATGATTTAGAATCAAAAGATTGAAAGGAATGTATGCACCCTGGCAGGGTAGCTCAATTGGTAAGAGCATTGCCCCCAAACGCCAAGGTTTTGGGTCCAATCCCCAGGCAGGACACATACAAATATCAACCAATGAATGCATGAATAAGTGGAACAACAAATCTATGTTTCTCTCTCTTTCTCTCTTAAAAAAATCAAGAATATATTGGATACATTGGAGAGTTATTTCCAATGCCAAGATTTGGAGGCAGCCCAAGTGCCCAGTAGATGAGTGGATAAAACAGCTGTGGTACATCTACACAGTGCGATACTACTCATGTATAAATGTGTTGGAAGGAGACTTGACTTGGGCTGGTGAACACACAATACGATATACAGACAATGTATTACAGAATTACACACCTGAAACCTATATAATTTTATTAACCAATGTCACCCCAATAAACTCAATAAAAAATAAATACGAGGTCTCGTTGGGGCCTCTGCTCAGAAAGTAGACAAGCTGCTCAGAGATACAGTGAAAAGAAAAGGAGACAGTTATTCCCAGCAGAGGGACGTGGAAGACAGGCATTTCAGGAACCATTGGCCTGTGTGTGTGGGGGGGGGGGGGGGGGGGGAGAAAGGGTGACATCAGGTGGCTTTGTGGTGCCTTCAGTTCCACCCTTACTCATGCTATTTACCTGCCCCCCGAGGTGGTGAGCTCCCCATCACTGGAGGTGTTCAAGCCGTGGCTGGATGTCTATTATGGAGTTTGCCTGAGTTGGAGAGTCATTCTCACATCCTAGGAGAGGCAGGCATGCTCCATCGTAGAGCAGACACTGTGGGCAGACAGCGGTCCCAACACCAAACACAAGAGGCTTTGCACCACCTGGTGGACATGGTTTTAAACTGCAGACCCTTCCCTGGGAGGAAGCACCCGTGTCCTCAGAAACCCGGGCTGTGAAGCCAGAGCAGAGCCCCTAACGTGTCAGGAGCCCCAGTTTGTGAGCAGGCGTCAGAGAGGCTACACAGGGAGGGTTTACTAACAGGACGCGGGTTGCTGAGCCGTGCCTTGGGACTGGAAGGGACACATCCTTCCCTAACTTCATTCCGGATTGCCGGACGACACGCTGGGACGCTGCCTGGAGGGGGGCAGAAGGCTCGTTTGCTCCTCCTGCTTGACTCTGTACCGGGGAGTGACCCTGAGCTGTCTTTGCCCAGAAGTAAAAGTTCCCCAAGTGTTCCGTTCTGCAGGAGCCTCCAGGGAACCACACCCGCAACCCCCATAACAACCCCCCAAAAACCCCATGGACATCAGATTCTGAAAGATTTTGTCTACCATGGTGCATGCTTTCATTACACTGGCTATACTGTCATCTGTGTCTATTATCTTATTGTGTCATTTGCTGTCTTCGAGGCCTTTGCACCTGCCAACAGAGCACATGAGCTTCGTGGGTGAGCGTTCCCTCATCGAGTTCACTTCATTTGAGCAAAAACAACGGCACCAAGAGGCCAGCAGGCCTCGGGGGCAGCTGAGGTGAGAGGGTGCTGCCGGCTCCCGCACACTGACCGGGCCTGAGGGCACCCTGTCCTGCCTGCCTGAGCCCGGCCAGGCCAGCTGCTCATCCCATCAGTCCTCCTTCTGGCCTCATGTCTTTCTGAGGAAAGGGCCTGATTGCAATCACCCCACGCCTAGACCTGGGCGTCAGGGCAGCCAGGCTCCGGGGAAGGCGCAGGGAAGCCCGCAGCACAGGCCTGGGCCGGCTCTCCAACACAGCTGCTGGGCGCCCCACTGCTCCCCCAGGTTTCCCCCGAAAGCAGCTGCCCCTTGACGTGGGGACGTGCAGGTGGGGCTGCTGGTCTCCTCCTGCTGCTCCTCATGGGTCCCTCTCCCTAAAGGCTCCTCCTCTCCTGCGGGAGGTCTCAGCCCTGACTTGGAGAGCCAGGCCCACAAGCATGAACCTCAGGAGCCCTTCACCCCTCATGGACCGGCCTCCACCATCGGCCTGTCCTGGTCCCCGCACCTGCACTTCCTTGGCCCCTCGTGATGGGGAGACTCACTGCCCGCCACACCCCCACACCTCACCCCTCCCAAGGGAAGGGGGAGGGCAGAGCAGCCTGGACGCTCCTCCTTAGGGACGCTTTCCCTGGCACCTGCCAAGCCGAATCCAAATGCTCCGTGCCACTTCGTCACCAGGACCGGGGCGCCTCTCTGCCTCTCCCAGGCCTGCGTCGGGGCCCGGCCCGCTCTGTATGTCCCCCTCCCCATGAGCCGGTAACTTACAAGGATTTTGGAATTTAAAAAATTAAGATTATGATTAAAACAAGAGGCCCAGTGCACGGAATTTCATGTACTGGCGGGGGGGCGGGGGGGGTCCCTCAGACCAGTCTGCACCCTCTCACAGTCCAGGACCCCTTGGGGGATGTCCACCTAAGCCAGCAGTTGACATCCCTCTCGCAGTCTGGGACCCCTCGCTCCTTACCCCCTGCCTGCTGCGGAGACCGGGGAGGCTCCTGCCACCACCACTGCACTCGCCAGCCATGAGCCTGGCTTCTGGCTGAGTGGCGCTACCACTGTGGGAGTGCCCTGACCACCGGGGGGGGGGGGGGGGGGGGGGGGGGCGGGACACAGCTCCTGAGTTGAGCATCTGCCCCCTGGTGGTCAGTGCACATCACAGTGACTGGTTGACCAGCCTTTTGGTTATTTGGTCATTTGGCCACTTAGGCTTTTATAGAGAGAGAGATTGATATGTTTAAAACACGCACAGACTTCAGGACAACCCACTTTAAACTCCTCACCCCAGCCGGGGGCGGTCCCAGGGGCCACGGAGCCAGGGGTCCCAGGAGTGGCCAGGCCCCGCCCAGCTAGCACCTCTGCATCTGCCTCATTCACGGGTGCTCTGCAGGACCCCAGCCCTCGCTCTGAAACATACGTGTTTTCCGTGAGCCTCTGAAAGCGCTGAGAGAGCACTTGGGTAGAAAACACGTGGGGAGCGACCAGGGGAAGGAGTCGCGAAAGCTGGCACCACCAGCATCCGGCACGAGGACAGGGAGTGGTCCAGCATCGGCCAGGCTTCCTGCACAGAGCCCTGGACCTGGCAGGCCCCGGGTGGGAGGAAGTGCTGCTCATGGTGCACCTTAGCCTTCCACAGTGTTCTGTGTCAGTCATATCCCAATAAAGCTGGGGCGGGGGTGGGGGGGGGGGCGGGAGACCTGAGCTTCTTTGTGAGGGAAAAAGACTTTCTCTGTGTTGTGCTCAGAGACACAGAGAACAGACTGACGGTGGCCAGAGGGGAGAGGGCTTGGGGGGCTGCGCGAACAAGGTGAGGGGATGAGGAAGCACAGGTTGGTAGTCACGGAACAGTCCCGGGATGTGAAGTGCAGCACAGGGAATGCAGTATCGACAATACTGTAATAACTAGGCCTGGTGCCAGCTGGGCACTGGGAATACTTTGCAGAGTGTACGACTGTCGACCACAATGCTGAACACCTGAAACTAGTACAAAATAATTCTGAGTGTCAACTGTAATTGAGAAATAAAATTTTAAAAATACAGTGGGGCCTTGACTTACGAGTGTAATTTGTTCCATGACAGAGCTCATAACTCAAATTACTCGTATGTCAAATCAAAAAGTGAACGAGTGAGACACGTGATGCTGGGCTGATGTTGTGGCGTTCACTGTGACGTTCGCTGCGCCAACTAGCGGTGGGGTATCTGAAGCTGGCTCGTAACCCGAATTTTAGCTCGCAACTCAAAGCAAAAAATCTGCTGAGAGACGGCTCATATCTCGAAAAACTCGTTAGTCGGGACACTCGTAAGTCAAGGCCCCACTGTAATAATAATAAAGAATCTGTGTCAAGGAGAAGTGCAAGGGTTAATGCTGTAAATCAGGGGTCCTCAAACTACGCCCGAGGGGCACATGCGGCCCGCCGAAAACATTTATCCAGCCCGCCGGGTGTTTTTGCCGCCGCTGTGTGCATGGGAATTTGTTCATAGTTTTTTTAAAACTATAGTCCGGCCCTCCAACGGTCTGAGGGACAGTGAACTGGCCCCCTGTTTAAAAAGTTTGAGGACCCCTGCTGTAAATGGTTTCACTGGATGGAGACAGTGACTTGTATAATTTATTTCACTAACTTCTTACTATACCACTTTTTTCATAAACTCTTTATTTACTGCTGACATTCATGTAACCTGGCCCCCAAAAAGGACACGACTGTCTACCTTATCAAACCATGAGGATGCACTTCCTGCTTGTTAAGATTACGTGTGAGGAAGTCCCCTTTGACATGTGTTGTTTTCAGTGACCCACGGCCTTCCAGAAATCTAACTTGTAAAAAGTGGAGGTAAACCCAGAGCCTCACCCATAGCAGGTGCTCAATTCATGCCCGTGGAAGGAAGGGCTGGAGAACCCCTTTGCTCCTGCACCCAGGTGTTCCTCCCTGAGCACAGCCTATGTGCCGGAGGAGATGGGGAGAGGGTGGCGCTGAGCCCAGGGATCCGGGGTCTGGGGTGGTGAGCGCTGCCCAAGCCCAGGGCCCACTCCTGGCCCCGAGAGTCCCCGTGTGGGGTGAGAGTCATCGCCCTGGGCGGAGACACAGCCCCTAGGATACGCAGGTGTTTTCAACCATTGACACACCAGCGGGCCAATGCCAGCACCCTAACTCCATTCTCTTGTCTAAACCTCTGCATCTTGGGTCCATGAAAAAGATGTGAGACCAGAAGAAATGAGGCCACATGAGGAGCAGCAGGCGGAGCTGGCAAGTCACCCCGTCTCTGGCCTCAGCTGTGTGATCTATAAAGGGAGCGGCTGGGGGAATCCCTCCCGCCCCAGGTATGCAGTTCTGGTTGGGGATGATGAGAAAGGCTACGGGGCGTGAGTGCATCCCCGGGCCGGAGTCAGGAGACAGCACAGTCCCAGGGCAGATGGGAGGGGCAGGACGCCCTGCCTGGCCCTTTGGGGGGTGGAACTGTCAGAGCCCCTCACAGACTCAGCGGGAGTTTCCCTGCTCGTGAGCGTCCCAGCTTTGAGTCCCAAAGTCCAAGAAGCCTGAGGACTTCTTCCTGCGGCGACTCGGGTTCAGCAGACGGGCTTTCTGACCTGATGGAGGCAAGTGGCTAGGTGGTTTCCTCCTCCCCAGAAAGAAGGTGCAGATCCACGTTCTGTTTTTCATGAAGTGAAAACGCTCCCTTCGCTTTCCGGTGCAGGGGGCGGCTCCGACCTCCAGGAGCCCAGCGGGACTGGGGGCTGCAGAGGGAGGCTGGCCCAGCAGCTCAGAGGCCTGTGCTGAGAGCAGCTCTCGGCTGGCAGGGCTGACGGTGACGGTGACCGGAGTAAGCGCTGTGGAGCAGGCACCCGCGGGCACTCACAGGTACGGTCTTACGGAGCTTCCGCTGTCTCCAGGGCCAGCCAGGGCAGCGCCCCCACCTTGCAGATGAGAAACCTGCGGTCCCCGAGGTGGAACAACTTGCCCAAAGCCACCTGGCAGGTACGGGCAGGCGCACAGGGGCCCAGGCGCAGACGGGAGGCGGTTTCCACTGGGCCACAGTCACTGTCACCAAAGACTCAACACTGCGGACAGGGATTGTCGCGGAGACGCAGGCAGAGAGGCAGGGCCAAGCCTCAGGCCCGAGACCCTCGCAGTCACTGACGGGAAGCAGCAGCACTGGGCTCGGGGGGCACCCGCTCTGCAGGTCTGCCTGTGTCCAGACCTCTAAACCTCACGGTGGCGTGGGAACTGAACGAGATGACATGTAGGCAGGACCCTGAGCGCAAGGCCTGCACAGGGAGCACTTAAACACCAGATACCACCGTTGTCATTATCCCAAAGGTTGACCGAGCAGCCATCCTTTTGTCCGTTCATAGAGGAGCCCTGCGGGGAGCACGCGCCCTTGATGGGCGAGCTGAGGCTGGGGCCACTCCCTTCTGTGACCTGGAGGCGTGGGGCTGGATGCCCTCAGCGCCGGCCACCCTCCCTCGCTGAGGTCCCCGACAGCAGGTCCCGAAGTGCACCGGCCGGGCATCCCTGCTGCCCGGGGAGGAGGGCGGAGGCGTGCAGCTCGCCGCCCTCACGAGAGACTCGCTCTCTGTCCCATCTGCCCAGGGCCCGGGTCGTGCCCTCACGGAGAGACCGCCGGCACGTCCGCCTCGAAGCCGGCCTGGCCCTGCGCCCGGCACTGCAGCTGCTGCGGGCGGCTGCCCTGCCCCGGGGCCGTCTTCCCGGGCAGCTTCAGGAACCTGGAGTCGGGCCCCAGTGCAGTCAGCCGCTGCCCAGCCGCGGGCTTCCTGCCCCCCCAGCGCCCCCGCCTCCCTGGGCCCCTGGGCCCAGGCTGCTCACCTGAACAGGAGCTTCTGCCCCGGCTCCTTCCTGATGATGTTCAGCTTATAGTAGTGGCGCAGGGCGCGCGACATCTTCTCATAGGTCATGTTCACACGGTTCTGGGGGGCAAGGCAGCCACATCACCCCCACTCCCCCCTGCCCCTCCCAGGCCTCGGTTCCCACGGTTCCCACGCCTGGAAGGGAGCAGCCAGGGTTCTGAGGGCTTTCTCTTGAGTTTGGAAGGAGGAAGGCAGGGGCGGTGGGGGAGACACATTGGGGCGGATCTCTCGTCTGCCTGGCTGAGAACCGGGGCAGGAGCGGGCCACCTGAAGCTCTTAAACAGCGAATGTCACCGGCAGTAACAAATAAATATATATGGAGCTGGCGACGTCATCATAGAGACAGCCTGGCAAGGGGCCGAGTGACTTTGGCCAGGGGACGTTTTCCTCTCTCCACAGGGTGGGCAGTGCAGAGCAGGGCGAAGTGGCTGGACTGGTGTTACATCTCTGAACCCGTGTGCCCGGCTATGAGATGAGGACGAGGACATCCGTCTCACAGGCTTGTGGTAAGGATGAACTTGCTAATCCGTGAGAATACTTAGCACGGTGCCTGCCATGTAGTCTGTGCTCATTAAATGAACTTACTACTCTCTGAGCCTCAGTTTCTCCCCTGTACTGTGCAGGGGTTGGGCCAAAGAGCACATCCAAACTTCAGCCATTCGCACCCTTCCAGCCACCGGCCGTCCTGAGAGGCCACAAAACAGAGAGGAGTGCAGGGCTGCAGTCTGCGTTCAAGTCCCTGCTCTGCCACCTCCTGGCTGCAGACTCCTGGACAAGTTGATAAACCAATTGGTACCTCAGTTTCCCCGTCTGATACCTACCTGCCCTCACGAGGCTGCTGTGAGAGTAAATAAATGAGTTAGTAAAATGTAACCCTCAGAGCAGTGCCTGCCAATCAAATGCTATGCCCTTTTAAGGAATGCTACGTATTGCAAATTATTGTTATTATTAATAGTTTTCTTTAAAAGACTCGTTTTTTAGCCAGAACCGGTTTGGCTCAGTGGATAGAGCGTCGGCCTGCGAACTGAAAGGTCCCAGGTTCGATTCCAGTCAAGGGCATGTACCTGGGTTGCGGGCACATCCCCAGTAAGGGGCGTGCAGGAGGCAGCTGATCGATGTTTCTCTCTCATCGATGTTTCTCTCTCATCGATGTTTCTGGCTCTCTATCCCTCTCCCTTCCTCTCTGTAAAAAATCAATAAAATGTATTTAAAAAAATAAAATAAAATAAAAGACTCATTTTTTATTTAAGTGAATTAATTTATAGACAAGGACACTTGCTTTGTATCACCACTGTAAATCATAAGACTGACATGATAGATTTTTTAATCCTGATTTGCCGGGAGCCGGTCCATCCTTGCTGTTTCAAGGGACCTGGCATATATGGCATACTGTTCTTAATATTTTGCTCACCTTCTTGGCACTATGTGTTTTAACCAAGGTCACCTCTCTGAGAAAGGTTGTTTCCCCAGGTAGGGATTTTCCCCTGAAATTAGGGAGGGAATAAAACCCCTTAACTAAGTGCCAGGCAGGTAATTAATCACTTTAACTACGAACAATCATGCTTAAGCTACATAATCTTTACTCCCTGGAATGGAGATAAGAAACACCCTAACCTTTGGAATCGAGATTGATAGGATTGGAATCAACTGGTATAAATACAGATGTAACAAGACAACAGGACACAGAACCTAGACACAGAACCTACACAGAACCTAGAGACAGAAGAACTTCGCTGGAGACAACATGGCAAAAGATCCTGGACAGAAACTGGACACAGAACCTAGAGACAGAACCTAGTGAGAGAACATGGCAAAAGATCCTGGACAGAACCTGGCTACAGAACTTGGCTAGAGAACCTAGATAGAACCTAGTGAGAGAACCGAACCAGAACTTGGCTGGAGATCCTAACTAGAACTTGGCTGGAGATCCTGGCTAGACTGCTGATCAACTGAACGCTGTATCCATGTCAGTCCTTCTTCGCCGACTCCGTCCACACCTTTGGGGACCCCTGGACCTGCTGGGGTTGGACCCCAGCACTGATTCTTACTAAAATAAGTCCTTAGTTCCTAGAATCCCCTGCAGACACCCATTTAGGTGTGGGCACTCCTCGCGCTGGGAATGCTGGTCTCAGCCCTTTCCGGGCCTTCAGCCCCGACGGCAGACGCCCCTGCAGGCCCGAGACCTGGCTCCTGTCCCGGCTTCCCCCAGAGAACCCGGTTCCCATCCGGCCCGCCCACCCCACGGCATCCAAGGGCTACTCATGTAAACGTGCTCTGAAAGGTCCCCGTGCTAAGCAAAGGTGGGAGCAAGCGGTGAGAAGGCAAGATCCCAAGTTCCAGGGCCAGTCCACTCCTCAGGAAGCCGCTGTCTGTCCTTCAGGATCTCCCAAAGTACAAGGACCCCAACACTTCCTAGAGCTGCTACTGAGCCCCCCAGGTAAGGATGGAGCCCTAGAGCTGAGGGTCCGCTCTGACCCCTGCCCCGTTCGCTTCTGGGTAAGTTGAGGCCTCCCGCCCGCTGGCTGAGGCTCACCTTGTGGTTTCCCCAGAGTCTGGCAAGCCCGTTGGGATCCACGACTCGGAAGATCCTGGCGTTCTCGTCTTCCCACCTGATGACAGACTGGTACCTGGTGTCGGAGAGCAGCTGGTACACATAGTCCCACAGCAGCCGGCAGTCTGCAATGGAGCACAGGGTGCAGGTGGCTTTCCTGGCGCTGTGAGGACCGGCATGAGGAAGGCGCTGTGGGCCCGCGAGGCTGGGGCCCAGCGTGCAGCAGGATGGAGACGACGGCGGTGTTAGCAGAACTGGGGCGCCATTACTCGTTGTCTCATGCAATCATCCTAACTCTAGGGGGTGTTCCCTTCATCCCCAGGAAGAGATGAGGCAGTGGGCTCAGAGAGGCAGGCAGACTCTCACCCAGCCCTGCAGACACCAAAGCCAGGGCCCTTCCCTGGGGCAGGCGGCTCCAGGTCCTGTCTGCCCCTGGCCCAGTCACTCAGCCCCTGGACTCTGTTAAATCAGGTACTAACATCCACCCTCATCCTAAGGGAGATTCAGGACACCCATGTGCCATCGCAGAGGGCAAGCAGCAGGGGGAGCCCGGGAGCACCCGCAGCTCCAGTCCCACTACCTGGGCCTCCAAGCCAGTTTGCTCACAGGGCCTATGGGAGCATGAAAGAACACAACAGATAAAACCAAAACAAAACCTTAGCACGCTGTCTGGCACCAGGTAAGTGCTCAAAGAATGTTAAGCCATTATTATTTTTAAAATCAAATAATTGTGGTCTGGCCACGGTGGCTCAGTGGTTGAGCATCAACCTATGAATCAGGAAGTCACAGTTCGATTCCCAGTCAGGGTACATGCCGGGCTGCAGGCTCAATCCCCAGTAGGGGGAGTGCAAGAGGCAGCCAATCAATGATTCTCTCTCATCATATCTCTCCTCCCTTCCTTTCCTTTCCTCTCTGAAATCAACAAAAAGCCTAATATGCTAAGTGTCTGGTCGTCTGGTTGTCTGTTCAACCAATCAAAGCGTAATATGCTAATGATATGCTAAGGCCATTCAACCGCTTGCTATGAGGTGCACTGACCACCAGGGGGCAGATGTTCTGACTGGTAGGTTAGCTTGCTACTGGGGTCTGGCTGATTGGGACTGAGCAAGATGGGCCAGACATGCCCTGGAGCCCTCCCACCGTCCCTGGCCCTGATCGTGCACCAGTGGGGTCCCTTAGCCTGGCCTGTGCCCTCTCACAATCCGGGATCCTTCAGGGGATGTTGGAGAGCTGGTTTCAGCCCAATCCCACAGGCCAGGCCAAGGGACCCCACTGGTGCATGAATTCATGCACCAGGCCTCTAATTATATATATATATATATATAAAATAATTGTGTTTCAGAGATTCCCAGGCATTTCCAAACCAGAAGCCATGCCTCTTCTGCCTCAGTGGTGTCTTAGAATAAGTATAGTGGCCCCACTATGGCTAGAAACACCCTTTGGTGCTTATCGGTCAGTCTGCTTGCCTGTCTATTAGTCACTCCTTTAACAAGTGTAAAATGGAGGTGTGTCACCTGTAGGCTCAGGCTCTGGAGCCAGACCGCCTGCTTCACAGCCCAGCTCTGCCACTTACTGCTGTGCAAACATGGGAAAGTCACTCGGCCTCTCTGTGCCCCATTTCCCTGTCTGTGACTGTTGCTAATAATAATACCAACCTCAAGGGCTGCTGTGGGATTAAATAAAGAGCCGTGCCTTGCACATAGTAAGTGCTCAACTATTTAAAAGTAAATAAGGGTTTTTAAAATATATTTGTACTGTTGATAGTATTACAGATATCTCCAAATTTCTGCCCTTTACCCCCTCCTCCCAGCCCCTACCAACCCCCACCCCCTGATCTTCACCACCCTACTGCCCGTGTCCATGGGCTTGCATATAAGTGTATAGGTTCTTTGGTTTATCTTTTCTCATCCCCCTAAAAGAAAATAAGGTGTTTAATGCGAACCTGACCAACTGCCTGGGTGTGACTGGCGTAACTGTCTCTGCTCTGGAGATGGGGTGGGCTTGGCAATCCTGGGCGGCACCGCTCGCTGTGGCCAGATTGTGGCCAGCACACAGGACAGTCACCCACATCCCCACCGCCCAGCACAGACAGACCCTCTCATCCCACAGAGCAAAGCCAGAGCGCCTTTCTAACGCCCATCCTCACGGACCCTCTCACCCCCCAGAACACAGCCCCCTACCCACCTGCGATCCTGCCATCAATCCTGCCGTCGACGGGGGCCTGCGGCCTCATGGGGAAGGAGCAGACTCCCTCTGCCCTACAGCTGAGCTCCCCACGGAGAGGGAAGCTGAGGGCCTCCTCCCCGCCGGGGGGCCACCTGGCCAGGCCAGCGGCATCCAGGCGGCTCCAGGAGTCGGTAAGCTCCAGGTCGGGTGGCTGCTGCAGGAGGCCTCCCTGGGCCCCCTGAGAGGGCCTGGTCCCCTCTGCAAGCAAATGAGCACCGGTGATGCTATGGGACAGAGCCTCCCAGCCCAGGCCTCCTTACCGGCATGCCCGGGAACCCCGAGGGGCAGCACCGCTGGTGGTCTCCCTGCGTCCAGCCCCGGTGCCAGATGGCGTGGCTGAGGGCCAGACAGCCCCGCTGCTAACCCAGCTCTAGACACGTGACTCCTCTCTCAGACCTGTTCCCGCACCCACAACACTGTTCACAAAGCCAGGCCCACAGCCCAGGTGCCCTGCACCTCAGTCCAGTGTCTTCTCCACCCACCCCATCAACATTGATTCGGAGCCTTCTAGGAGCCAGCGTAGTTCTAGAATCTTGGGGACACATCACTGAACCCCAAGAAGCCCCTGCCTCGTGAGCTTACATTCTAGTTGGGGGTGAAAGGAGAGAGATGATTAAAATTAAAAAGGAAATTGCCAAAACCGGTTTGGCTCAGTGGATAGAGGGTCGGCCTGCAGACTGAAAGGTCCCAGGTGCAATTCCGGCCAAGGGCATGTACCTGGGTTGCGGGCACATCCCCAGTAGGGGGTGTGCAGGAGGCAGCTGATCGATGTTTCTCTCTCATCGATGTTTCTAACTCTCTATCCCTCTCCCTTCCTCTCTGTGAAAAATCAATAAAATATATTTTTAAAAAAATTAAAAAGGAAATAGAAACAGTAGGTACTATGTGGGTGTGTGAAAATAAAGCACCAGGAGGCAGGTGGGAAACCCCGGGCAGGTGCAGGTGCGTGCTGGTCAGGCCTCACTGACACGCAGACACTTGAGCAGACACTGAGGAGGCAGAGGGGTGGGCTCTGCTGGCAGCTGGAGAAGGGAATGCCAGGCAGAGGGAACGAGTGCGAAGGCCTGAGGCAGTGTGGCTGGAGCAGCGTGAGCGAGGAGGAAAGGGGCGGCCGAGGGTCAGAGGTCAGCGTAAGACAGCGGTTCTCAACCTGTGGGTCGCGACCCCTTTGGCGGTCGAACGGCCCTTTCACAGGGGTCGCCTAAGACCATCCTGCATATCAGATATTTACATGACGATTCATCACAGTAGCAACATGACAGTCATGAAGTAGCAACGGAAATAATTTTATGGTTGGGCCACAACATGAGGAACTGTATTTAAAGGGCCAGGAGGTTGAGAACCACTGGTAAGGACGGTAGCCTTGACTCCAAGTGAGGTGGGAGCCATTGGAAGACTCTGAGCAGAGAAGTCACATGACCTAAGTAAGGATTCTCTCCAGCTGCTCTGTTGAGAACAGACCGTAGGACGCCAAGCGTAGGAGCGAGGAGACCCGTGAGGAGGTTCAGGGTTGGGAGAGAAAGAAATCAGTCAAGGATGGCATCCACCTTTCTGGCCAGAGCAGTGGGAAGGAGGCAGGGAGCCCTGGGGGAGGCGGGGAGCGGTGTCGCTGTAGGAGCTGAGCTGCTGTTGGAGTGGGCATCCCGGTGGGGGTGGGGCAGGCAGTGTGGGTGCTCAAGTCTGGAGTCCAGAGCGGTCCGGGTGTACATGGAGTCATGGGCACTAGATGGTGTTTCACACCCGAGACGAGGTGAGACCACCAGGTCTGCATGTCGATAGGGAAGAGGACCCCCCCCCCCCAAGCCCCGGGAACCACAACATTCAGAAACCAGGAGACTGAGGGAGTGACCAGTGGGGTGTCCTAGAGGCCACGGGAGGAGCAGTGGTTCTCAACCTTCCATTACAATGCCGCGGCCCTTTAATACAGTTCTCATGTTGTGGTGACCCCCAACCATAAAATTATTTTCGCTGCGACTTCATAACTGTCATGTTGCTATTGGTATGAATCGTCATGTAAATATCTGATATGCAGGATGGTCTTAGGCGACCTCTGTGAAAGGGTCGTTCGACCGCCAAAGGGGTCGCGACCCACAGGTTGAGAACCGCTGAGTTCGGGGAAGAGGGTAACCCACCGGGTGGGAGGCTGCGCGAGGCCACAGGGAGTGGGTGTGGTCATCCCTAAGTTCACGGCCCTGGAGACCGACAAGAACGGTTTCCATGGAGAGATCAGGAGGGAAAGAAACAGACGGTGCAAACAGCCCCTTGCCCGAGGAAGCCCGGCAACGAGGAGAGGTGCCTCACCTTGCAGGGGGCAGGGGCAGTGCCCACGGGGCATCTTCTGCCTGAAGGCCCTGCCGAAGAAAGGGCCGCACACCAGGGCCTGCCGCTGGGTCTTGATGTACTGGAGCAGCTCGTACAGGACGTCACCTGGGGGGCGGGGGGCCGATGACCAGGCTGCATGGGCGCTGCCTCATCCCCGCAGCCACGGGCCCCTTGGGGGCACGTCCCGCACAGGCTGCGTGCTGCTGGAGATGGCAGGGGAGACAGGGCGACAGGGGCTGGGAGGGGACAGTGCTCGGCAGGACAGACGCCTGCCTGCGGCTCTGAAATCAACCGCCAAATGGAGTCCTTCGCTGCAGGCCAGCTCGGGCTGGGAGCCGCCTGGCAAACATTTATGGAAAGAGGCGCGGGCGGCCTCGGTGCTGGGAGTGAGCATGACCTTCCAACCAACGCCCCTCCACCTCCCGCCGGGCTTACGTGAGCTTCCAGGGGGTTAGAGAAAGCCAGAGAGTTTCCAGACCTGAGCCGGGCGCGCGGAGCCGGAAGTCGTCCTTGGTGAGGATGCAGAGCGCACGGCCGTTCATCTCGAAGCCGCGCTCCCGGGTGCGCTGCAGGGAGTACTCGCACTCGGCCCAGCGCAGCCAGTGCAGCACGTCCTCCCGGCTCCAGAGCGCGGGCTGGATCCCTGCAACACAGGACGTGGGCTGGGGGCGGGCCCTCGCTTAAATGCCACCTCCTCCGAGAAGCCCACCCTGAACACTTCTCTGAGCAGGTGTCCTGCTCCCACACCCAGTCATTGTCTCTGTCATTTTTCCTGTTCTTCCCCTTCCTGGCACCTTACCTTCTTTGGATTCACTTTACATTTGATACGACTATATGTTTATCATCATCTATGTACTTTTTATGTATTCACTTATTTATTTGTGGTGCCCGCAACCCGCCACCCCAGCCTGTGTTCCAATTATTCATTCAACAAATGTGTAACGAGGAACTGCTCTGTGCCAGGCCTGTGTGCACGCTGCATGTATTCCGGGACAGGGCCTGAATATAGTAGGTGCTCGATAAACACATACTAGAGGATGGTATGAACGACCAACCAGCCCCGCAAAGAAGGTCTTAGTATTACTGTTTTCCAAATAAGGAAACCGAGGCTCCCAGAGGTTAGGGACCACAGTAGCATGAGGTCCAGCCGGGCGGAACCAGGTCTGTGTGGCTGCTGTTCTCGTCCACTCCGTGGAGACAGCTCAGATCTGGGTTTGCTCAGGGAACAGCCGGGGACAGAGGAGTCTCCCCCACCTTCAGCAAGGGTGTCTCCTCCCTGGCAGCCCCCAGCAAGCGCTGCCCTCTTATCCCCCGCGCTCTGCCCTGCCTTGGCCAGGCTGCCCGAGGCGACACTGCCTCCCTGACCGGGCTGCTCAGCACGGCTCGCTCAGGCCCCTTCCTCCACCAAAAATTCTTATTGTATTTTATGGCTGCATCGGAATCCGGTGAGTATGCTGTTGTATATTAAAACATTTTCTTCTACCTAAAAGTTTTTTTCTTCTGATTTCAAAAGGAATTGGCATGTTTTCATGGGCCCCCGACAGTGCTGGGGCCGGCACTGTGCCCGTGATGAGTCCGCCTGGTGTTTTGCCCTTCGTCCCTCTAGCACCCCTGGCCATGAGAGCGGGAGGAGCTCGGGGCTCACCGGGTCCAGTGTGACGGTAAGAGAATGGAGGCAGCGGAGAAAAAAACTGTCCAAAGCCACCCCCCAGCCCCCGCCCCCCTGCCCCCTGCCCCCTGCCCCCCGCAGTGACAAAGACGGAGCCAGCCTCTGACTGCCTGCTCCCAAAACAACAGAAGAGATAAAAGTTTTCATGTTAAAAAGAAAAAGAAGGCCCTGACCGGTTTGGCTCAGTGGATAGAGCGTCGGCCTGCGGACTGAAGGGTCCCAGGTTCGATTCTGGTCAAGGGCATGTACCTTGGTTGAGGGCACATCCCCAGCAGAAGGTGTGCAGGAGGCAGCTGATCGATATTTCTCTCTCATCGATGTTTCTAACTCTCTGTCCCTCTCCCTTCCTCTCTGTAAAAAATCAATAAAATATATTTAAAAAAGGAAAAGAAGAAAGTGCATCATCTAGTCGTTCATTCATTCAGCCAACATCAAACAAGCACTGCTGGGGGCAGGGCACAGCGCGAGGCTGGCAGGAGGGGGGCCCCACAAGCAGTGACTGTCTAATAACAATCCCAGTCGGCGGCAACGCAGCCCAGTGGGGACGGACAGACGGACAGAGAGGCTTTCCTTTCCTTATTTTGGGAACTAAGAGTGAGTAACAAGGAAGAATAAATGTCTGAAGTGGACCAAAAAGTTATTTAAGGGAGAAAAAAAAGAATAGAGGTGACAGGTGACCTTTGGCACACATACCACAAAGTCATGTAATCAAGATGTGATGGGACTGAACCAGACTGACAAGAATCATCGGAAAGGAAGGGGGAGCTGGAGGGCGGTGTGCGTGTGCAAAGTAAAATAGGACAGAGGCGGGTTTTCATTCGGTGGGAAGGGATCGTCCATTTAAGATATGCTGAAGCCACAACTGCCTCTCCGTGTGGAAAATATACTTGGACCCTCCCCCCGCTGTTCACAAAAATCAATTCCCGACGATAAGGCCTAATGAAAACCTCAAGAGAAGCAGAAACACGAAACCATGTGCACCAAACACGGGCAGGGAGCCCTCAACTTCGACAGGAAGCCCAGAGGCTGTCATCAAAGTGAAAGACGCATTTGACTACATCCATTATTGTCTGTGTGGCAAAGAGAAACCACACTAACAGAGGGCAGATTTCGGGGAAATACTTGCAAAACACAGATTAAAGGCTAATGCCCATCCTAGGTCAAGAGCGTCTCTAAATTTTTTAAGACAAAACACCTCAGCTTGGTTCACAGGGGAACAGGACTGCTTAGCACTATCGACACTCCGGGCCTGAGAATTCCCGCTGTGGGCCTGTCCAGAGCTTGCAGAAGGTGTAGCAGCTCCCTGGCCTCCACCCACTAGATGTCAGGGCCGGGCGCAACCGAAGAAGGATGGGAGGCCGTCTTAAGGACACCTACCCCTGGCAGGAGTACACGGAGCAGGAGCCTCGCTGGTGGGAATGGGAATGGAGAGCCTCTTGGGGCTCAGCCTGGGGGGACAGCGTGCGTCACAAGAAGCTGGTGGGTGAGACTCGGGCCGAGGTGGCGGCACGCAGGAGGTGTCCGGCGGAGTCACCCAGCCGCTCAGGACTGCCGGGCTCCGGGCCAACTGGCAATTGCGTTGTTTGCAGCGTTGCCTAGTTCATGATGTTTGAGGCTATCGGTCCGAAAATTCGAAACTATGATGCCTGAGTCAGAGGAGCCCATTTTCCTGTGTTTGGCCAGAGCATGAGGATGGATTCCACGCCTCCCCCACCTTCCTCACCCCCGCCCCCGGCTGTTCAGCCTCCATGAAAAAACTACAAGCACAGTGAGAGGGGACACCGGAACTTGCAGACATTCTCAGCCACACACGGTCCTGCCCCGGGTCCACAGAGCTGGGCAGCAGGCCGCCAAGCTGTCTCCCGGGACCCTGCGGTCACACACGGCCCGCAGCAGTCCTGAGACCTGGTCTGGTTTTGCTTTCATTGTGTCGTCTCACGCCTACCCTCGCCTTTCATCCCGTTGCCGCCAGCACGTCCAGCCCCGTGATCAAGAGGAGAAACCTGCCTGGCGGGCGTGGCTCAGTGGCTGAGCGTGGACCTATGAACCAGGAGGTCACGGTGTGATTCCCGGTCAGGACACATGCCCGGGCTGCGGGCTCGATCCCCAGTGTGGGGTGTGCAGGAAGAAGCCGATTTATGATTCTCTCTCATTCTCATCATTGAAGTTTCATCTCCCTCTCCCTTCCTCTCTGAAATCAATAAAAAAAAATTTTTTTTAAGAAGAGGGGCCTTCTTGTTCCCCATGTTTTCAAAGGTCACTAAGGCCAAAGGCTTTCGAATAGGACCGGCGCCTGGGAAAGGACCAGGTTCCAAGCAGTGGGTCAGCCACAGACCTTGGGGCCAAATCCTCAAACTCAGGATTTGTGTTCCAGCTCAGCCCCTTACTAGCCAAGTCAGCACTCACCCTCTCTCAGCCTCAGTCTCCCCCTCTGTGGGGTGGGACAAGGCACTGCCTCTCCGGGCTGCCGGGTGGCGCAGAGGTTAGGAGCCCAGCATTTCCATTCCTAAGTAAAGACCCCAGAGACACGGTGACCGAATCCACTGAAAGACACGCATGCAAATGTCCACCGGGGCTCCGGGCACAACAGACAGGAACTGGAAACATCCCACATCCCACCAGCCAGAGGAGGGACGATCAGACTGTGATATTGTCCTGCACAAACGCTGCTCGGTAATGAGGCAGAAAGTACAACCCAGTGCTACTCCCACACGTGGGTGAAGCTTACGGATGCTACGCTGGGAAGGGAGCCAGACGCAAAACTGAGCAAGAATAGACAGAGCTCCTCCAGGGAGGGAAACCAGGCCGCTCGCCCTCCGGGGGGCAGTGCCTGGGAGGAGGCATGGGGAACCTTGGGGGGCCCCGGAAACGGTCTAGAGCTGAACGCACGTGGTGGCTACGCGGTGTTTACGTACATAAATACGCATGCACACTGCGATTAGCACGCGTGACTGCATGTAAACGACACCTAAAAAAAGTGAAAGTGAAAACAAGTACCGATGTGGTGCCAGGCCAGCTGTCAACGATGGGGCCTAAATGACTGTGCCTCGGTTTCCTCATCTGGACCGGCCTTCGGCAGCCAAAGCAAGAACAGACGGCACGGGCCACGCGGGGCTGTCGGGAGGACGCCGAGGGAAGCCACTTACAGCCCCGCATCGGGCATTGGCGCAGGCCTTCCAGACAACGCAGCTCTGTGTTAGACGAGGTCACGCGTGTGAAATGCCTGGCAGGTGCTGGTGCAGTATCTCAGCTGCCGACTTCCCCGGCAGCCCCCTGACCTAGTGGCTGGATGGGCCTCCCTCCCAGTCTACCCCCCCCCCCCCGCCCCTGGGGCCCCACCTGCAGTCCAGCCACGGCTTCTCCCTCCCTCTCTCGCAGGGATCCACTGTTTTCCGTTCCTTCCCTCCAGCCATCTTTGTCTCTCGAGACTCCAGCAGGTATCCCCTTACTCTCCCTGCCCCAAGTCTTGCTCACTGGGAATTCCCAGCGTGGCCGGCTCCCGGCTCCTGGACAGATCTGAACGGAGGCCCCGCTGGCTGGGCCCCCGGAGGAGCTGCCTGTCCAGCACATGGCGGGAGGGCTCGGCGTCTCCCTGAAGAGTCAACACTCCCTCCACCTGCACACAGGGCTGGACATGGGGGCTCCCCCCGGCCCCCGCCGCAGCTGTATGGCCCTCACTGCCCTTACACAGCTTAGTTTTTCCTCATGGAGTCGCTGCACCCGGACTAGGACATCAGCCCCATGAGGCACAGACTTTGTCAGTCTCGGCCACTTCTGTCTCTCCAGCACCGAGAGCAATGCCGGCCACAGAGCAGGTGCTCCACAAACATGGAAACGGGGGAGCTGAGCACAACAGGGAGGGCCAAAGGCCTCTGGTCACCCTGACCACCCCTCCCAGCCCCCCAGCCCCACCCAACCAGCTCTCTCTCCCCAGCACCCCTTTCACCTCCTTGGTGAGCCGTGGCCAGCGCTCTGAAAGCACTGATAGGACTGAGCTGCGTGACAAGGTCCTCGGATGCACGGATGCACGTCCCGCAACGGCGCCGGCAGCGCCGGGAGTTTATTCGAGATGCAGGAGCCAGGCCCCAGCTGAGACCCACCGAGCCCAGGGGATTCGCAGGCCCATTAAAGAGTGAGAGCCCCGCTCTCGGACGGGGAGCCAGTGTTAGGGCCGCGTCTAGTAGCACAAGTGCCCAGGACCCTCCTGTGAGCAGAGGATGGGCGCTTGAGCAGGGCGTGAGGACTGCTGGAGCCCGGGGCCCGTCCCTCGTTCCCGGCCAGGGAGCTGCAGAGAGATGCCACCCTCTGCCTGTGGCACTGACAGCGGAGGCGGCGCTCTGCCTCTTCCTGGGGCTGAGCCACAACCAGGAGGCTGTGCTGCTGATCACACCACAACCGCCGGCTCTCAAAGTCCCCCGAGCGTCCCTGGAGGTGGCATCACTTCCTCCCAGACTCGCTCCCGTGACCTCAGCCCGGGCCTGCAAGTGGTCACAGGGCTGGCACCGCCCCCGCTGCCCCTGACCCCGGCCTCGGGCTGACCTGACAGGGGACACCCCTCTCTCCCCACGGTCAGAGGGACACACAGTCATGAGTGTCCTTTGTGAGCTGAGGTCACTCCGGAGCCCGTGAACCGCATCCCTCCGCCCAGCCGTGTCCTGTCAGGACGTCTGTGGTCCCCGGGGTGGACTGCCTACTGCTCTCCGCACGTCTCGTCGGGCAGGTGACCGCAGTGAGCTGCCGGCGGCCGTGGCTCTGTGCTGACTCACACGGCTCAGCCAGGTTTGTTCTGTTTGTTCGCCTTCCTGCCGAGGCTAATCAGCCCTGCTGATTGCAGTGGAAGCGGAGAGGAGGGGGGAGGGGCTGGTGACTGGGAATGAATGTCAGGGAGATGCCCAGCGATAGAAACCCAGTTTCCAGAAATGCAGGAATCGGGCTGACATCACCCCGGCATCTGAAAAGTCAAACCCTCATTAGGTGTCAGCGGTTTGCTTCCTTGGGATGCTGTTGACAGGAAAATGAGTCATTGCGGGTCCCCTGTCTTTGAAGACTGTTAGGTGCTTACTAAGGGCCAGACTGCGCTGTCTGATATTTTTATGAGTCACGGAATCTACGGTGAGAGATACAGAAGGTGCTGTGCCCCGGCCACGGCCCTCGGCTCGCGCCTCTACTCTGCACCTGACTCAGCCTGTGTCAGGGCAGCTTGAAAAGCGGGGGCGGGGGGGGGGGGGGGGCGAGGGATCCATCCCCCTGGAGGCAGCCCTGAGCCCAAGCTACCGGTCAGGGTTGGCATCTGGACAAAATGAAACAACGGAGATTCCTCACAGAGCCCCACCCCCCCTTCTCCCCAAACAGCACCATATCCCTCCACTGCAGCTCCAGGCACCAGAGCCTCCTCTCCTGCCTACGCCCCAGGCCTGGGTCCCACCTGCCCCTCACCCACACCCAGGCCTGGGTCCCACCTGACCCTCACCCACACCCAGGCCTGGGTCCCACCTGACCCTCACCCACACCCAGGCCTGGGTCCCACCTGCCTCTGACCCGCGCCCAGGCCTGGGTCCACCTGCCTCTGACCCACACCCAGGCCTGGGTCCACCTGCCTCTGACCCGCGCCCAGGCCTGGCTCCCACCTGCCCCTCCCCTGGGAAGACAGGCTCTGTCCCCATCACACATGCCAGGCAGCAGAGGCAGAGGCCTTGGGGGGCAGCCGGGTGAAGTCCTGTCCCACATCCCGCTCAGCCCTGTCCGTGCCTAGAAAGCACCCCGTGGCCAGGAGGTCCGAGGGTGTGGAGCCCACAGAGCAGTGTCCAGCCCGGGGCCCCGAGCAGGACGTGGTCAGACGTGCCTCCCACAGCCGCCCAGACCCCGCCCATCACAGAGCCCGCACGCCCCAGCCAGCCGCACTCCGTCATTTCCAGTTTAGGACGTGCATTTAAACACCTCGGGAGAGTATCATCAGGACCAAGCGTTCGCCTTGACAGGGAGAGCGGTGTGAGCCTCAACGTGTGCTTATGGGAAATACGGCGCAAATACACGGAGTGGCCAGATCATTATGGCCACCCCATCAGCACAATGAAGTGAATTCGTTATGCAAATAATAATAATAATAAAACCTTCAGAGTATTTGCTTAGGAAGTTTTCAATATTCAGTATTTTTGGAAGTCAGTGGAGTACTGACGGGGTGGTCATAGTAATCTGGCCACGCAGAGTAATGCTAGTCCACAGCCTGCCCCGCGGCTCTGAGTCTCCTCGGGCAGGAGCAGCGCTCAGAGGAGGGAATGAAAGGCCGTGCCCAGTGCATTTCCCGTGGATTTCGGGGTGGATGTGACTGTCCCATATATATCCTTCTTATGCTTCTCGCTCAGTTCCCAATTTCTGGTACTAAGCAGATGCTACTTTTGTAACAATAAAAAGTAAATGCAATTATTTAGAACAGGATCCTATATACGTACAGCTGTTCACTGTTTAGCCCTGTCTGGCTCCCTCACTGGCAACGTCCCCAACTCTTGGTCTTCAGGCTGCAAGGGACCCAACTGCTCATCGGACCCCAACCCTCACATTCCCAGTGAGGAGACTGGCGCCCCCAAGCTTGGTCACGTCAGCTGTGTTCCCTGCAGGGAGAATTCACATTTACCTCCTCTGTCTTCCTCGCCACGGAATAAAGAAGCCCAGCAAAGAAACCGCAAAGGCAGGGACATCACACGCTTAAATAAGGGAAGTCCATGCCTTGCACGTGTGTCCTTGGCAAACACGACCCTCTCCCCTCCCCTCTACTCACGGAGTCTTCCTGGCAGCTTGCAGATGCCCCGCCGGCCCTGCAGGTCCACGTGGGCGTCACATCTGGCCTGGGCCCGGGCGCCTGGAGGTGGCGTGGCTGCCGCGGGGCTCACGGCAGAGCCGGCCAGCGCTCCCTCCTAGAGAGGAGACACCCAGGCAGTCCACGGTGAGCGCCTGGTGGAGGCTCCGCGTCCCGAAAGGCGTTAAGAGTTTTCCAAAGGGAAGGAGCATCCATCTCCGTGTGTGTCATGGAGGTGGGGCCATGTGTGTCCTCTCATGATGCCCTTCACATCTTGCACACAGCGGACGCTTGAGACATTCATCTTCCCCAGCCAGCTTTCCGTGCCTGTGCCTGACCCACCAGAGGCCGCCCTGGTCCTGACTTGTGAGCTGGGAATCTGAAAGCCTAATCATACTCAGTAGGAGCCTGAGGGGCCAGGATAAAGAGGCCTTACCTCAGAAATAAACAAACAATGAAATCCTATTTCCAACAGAGAAAAAGACAGGCTACATTTCTGAACCCCAAAGTCCCAGCAGGGGCGTCTGTATCTTTACAGTTTTCCAATCAGCCTAGGCCCCAGGGAGGTGTGGCTCAGTGAGGGGATAGAAAGCGGCAGGGCTTTGTAGAAGCAGGAGGCTCCTTGGGGCTCGTGCCCAGTCACAAAAAGGGAAAGTGAAACCAAGTCACTTCTCAGGCTAGGCCCTCGGGGAGCCGCACAGTCATCTTTGGTGTCTGCGGAGGGCAATCTGCAGTAGGAGGCCGTGGACCTGAGCCAGCAAAGCGAACTGCAGGCCTTGGTCGCTGCAGAGGAGGGTTCAGCAACACCTTGGGGGTAGTTCCCATCCGCCTCTGGCTGCCCGCATCCTGCCCCCCTGGTGCTGCCTCTCAGGTCACCAGCCTCAGAGGCGGTGGGGGCTGGCCCGGCTGGAGGGGGCTGGCGGCCTAGGGCTGGCCCAGGGCTTCCGGGAAGACCTCGTCTTCTCCTCCACCTCTTTCAAGCAAAGGACGGAAGCCCAGGCCTGTGACCCCCGTGGGGGGAAAGGCCCACGGGAGCCGCTGAGGGAGAGGTCTGGCCTCCAGGAGGGACAGGGAGGAGTGTGCGACTCAGACATGGAAATGGGCTTGGAGAGAGGCGGGCAGACAAAGGCCCGGGAGGTGGGAGGATGCCCAGCTCCCCGGGTACGGGTCTGAGGCTCCCAGGGAAATATGGCAAACGGAGGGGGGTTGTTACGGAGGGGCCCTGCAGTGGCTGCGTGGGTCAGCTGTGCGGGTCTGGCTTGTGCAGAAACTTCCAGAGACGTCACACCTGGTTGGTGTAGGGTGAGGAGAAGGGAGGAGGGGGCAGCACCCAGAGGAGTGGGGGCTGGAGGTGAGTGAGGCGGGGAGTGAGGACGGTGAGGATGGGTGGTGAGGGTGGGGAATGTGTTGGAAAGTGAGACTCCAGCCAGGGGAAGGACTGATAAAATGAGTGTGGGCATTAGGTGGCGGAGAGGGGATGGGGGCAGGTGGCGGAGAGGGGCGCGGTGTGCTCAGCGGCCAGGCTCTTACCTGCATCACAGGTGGAGGCGTGGGCGCCGGGCTGTGCTTCCCCAGGGCGGGCCGCCCCGGCCGCGCTGCCAGACGCTCCCTTCCCGACCCCAAACTCGGCTGGAGATCGGAATGCCTCGTGGGAGGAAATCTCCTTCCAGGCGCGGGGAGTGTGCGCTCGGTCCGGGAGCAGGCGCGGGGCGCTCGGTAATCGGTAATCGCTGTCCTTCCAGGAAACGAAAACGAAAGAGCGGATCCGGCTTCCACTCCCCCGGCGGGGTTGGGGGAGGGCAGGGGCGGCCCTGCGGGAGCAGAGCCCGGCGCTGGGTTCCGCGGGAGGCGTCGGTCCTGCTCGCACCCTCCGTGGCGGGCAGCCTGTGGGCAGCCTGGCCCTGGCTCCCAGGGAGATGAAAGTGGGGTTCTGCGGGGTCTGGGGAGCTGAGGGGACCCCTGGTCCTGGGCTGGGGTCTTGTGCGTCTTCGCGGATGGATAGGAGGGGCCGCTCCAGCTCCATCAAGACCAGTGCTTCCCTGGGGGGGCGGGGTGACTTTGTCTGCCTGCCATGTAGCCGGCAGAGCCCCAGACCCTGGACCTCAGGGGGTATAGCTCAGTGGTAGAGCATTTGACTGCAGACCCTGGACCTCAGAGCTCAGCGACCGCCTGGACCTGTCCCCAGGCCTCTGGCTGCCCCGGGCGATGCGCCCCTGCCCATCCCTCTGCGCACCTGCCTCAGCTCCCTCCGTCTTGAGGGGAAGCGGAGAGGTTGTAAGCACTAAAGCAACCCAAACGTCCACCCCTCGGAAGAAAAGGAGGGGAGAAGCCTTAACCTTCCGCTGCACACCGGGGTGGGTGCTGGGGAAGGAAGGCTGAGCCCCGCCTGGCATGAGCTCCTAGCGCCCCTGAGAACAAGGCTGGAAATACATGAGCATGAGCAAAGGGTGTGATGGGCATCCACGGAAAACAGAAGGCCAGTGGCCTCTGAACACAGGAAAAGATGCTCAGAGTCACTCGTTAATAAAAGCCGTGCAGATTAAAGCTACTCTGAGAGATCATTTCCACCCCATTAATTTAACAAAAATCCAAAAGTTTAACAGCATCATCTGCTGGAGAGGCTGAGGCACAGAGTGGCCCCACCCCATGGAGGCAGTGGCAGGACCTAGCACAGTTACAGGTGCATCTACCCTTCACCCAGCACCCAGCACCACGGAATTGCACACTGCCGTGTGTGTGTGTGTGTGTGTATGTGGTGTGTGTGTGTGTGTGTGTGTGTGGTGTGTGTGTGTGTGTGTGTGTGTGTGTGTGTGGTGTGGGTATGTGTGGTGTGTGTGTGGGGGGTATGTGGGGTGTGTGTGTGTGTGTGTGTGGTGTGTGGTGTGTGTGTGTGTGTGTGTGTGTGTGTGTGGTGTGGGTATGTGTGGTGTGTGTGTGTGTGAGGTGTGGGTATGTGTGGTGTGTGTGTGTGTGTGTGTGTGTGTGTGTGGTGTGGGTATGTGTGGTGTGTGTGTGTGTGAGGTGTGGGTATGTGTGGTGTGTGTGTGGTGTGTGTGTGTGTGTGTGAGGTGTGGGTATGTGTGGTGTGTGTGGTGTGTGTGTGGGGGGTGTGTGTGTATGGTGTGTGTGGGGGGTGTGTGGTGTGTGTGTGTGGTGTGTGTGTGTGTGGTGTGTGTGTGGTGTGTGGGGGGGTGTGTGTGTGGTGTGTGTGTGGTGTGTGTGGGGGGTGTGGTGTGTGTGGTGTGTGGGGTATGTGTGGGGTGTGTGGTGTGTGTGGGGGGTATTTGTGGGGGGGGTGGTGTGTGTGTGGTGTGTGTGTGGTGTGTGTGTGGGGGGGGTGTGGTGTGTGTGGTGTGTGTGTGTGGTGTGTGTGTGGTGTGTGTGGTGTGTGGGGTATTTGTGGGGGGGGTGGTGTGTGTGTGGTGTGTGTGTGGTGTGTGGGGGGGGGTGGTGTGTGTGGTGTGTGTGTGTGGTGTGTGTGTGGGGTGTGGGGGGGTGTGTGTGGTGTGTGGGGTATTTGTGGGGGGGGTGGTGTGTGTGTGGTGTGTGTGTGGTGTGTGGGGGGGGTGTGTGTGTGTGGTGTGTGTGTGGTGTGTGTGTGGTGTGTGTGGGGGGTGTGGTGTGTGTGGTGTGTGGGGTATGTGTGGGGTGTGTGGTGTGTGTGGGGGGTATTTGTGGGGGGGGGTGGTGTGTGTGTGGTGTGTGTGTGGTGTGTGTGTGGGGGGGGTGTGGTGTGTGTGGTGTGTGTGTGTGGTGTGTGTGTGGTGGTGTGTGGTGTGTGGGTCTTTGTGGGGGGGGTGGTGTGTGTGTGGTGTGTGTGGTGTGTGTGGGGGTGGTGGTGGGGTGTGTGTGGTGTGTGTGTGGTGTGTGTGTGTGTGGTGTGTGTGGTGTGTGGGGTATTTGTGGGGGGGTGGTGTGTGTGGTGTGTGTGTGTGGTGTGTGGGGGGGGTGGTGTGTGTGGTGTGTGTGTGTGGTGTGTGTTGTGGGGTGTGGGGGGGGTGTGTGGGGTATTTGTGGGGGGGTGGTGTGTGTGTGGTGTGTGTGTGGTGTGTGTGTGGGGGTGTGTGTATGGTGTGTGTGGTGTGTGTGTGGGGGGTGTGGTGTGTGTGGGGTATGTGTGGGGTGTGTGGTGTGTGGGGGGGTGTGGTGTGTGTGTGGGGTGTGTGTGGGGGGGTGTGTGTGGTGTGTGGGGTCTGTGTGGGGTGTGTGGTGTGTGGGGGGGTGTGGTGTGTGTGTGGTGTGTGTGTGGGGTGTGTGGGGGGTGTGTGTGTGGTGTGTGTGTGGGGTGTGTGTGGGGGGGTGTGGGGTGTGTGGGGGGGGTGTGTGGTGTGTGTGTGGTGTGTGGGGGGGGTGTGGTGTGTGTGGTGTGGGGGGTATGTGTGGGGTGTGTGGTGTGTGGGGGGGTGTGTGGGGGGGGTGGTGTGTGGGGGGGGTGGTGTGTGGGGGGGGTGTGGTGTGTGTGGTGTGGGGGGTATGTGTGGGGTGTGTGGGGTGTGGGGGGGGTGGTGTGTGGGGGGGTGTGGTGTGTGTAGTGTGTGGTGTGTGTGTGTGGTGTGTGTGGTGTGTGGTGTGTGTGTTTGGTGTGTGTAGTGTGTGGGGTGTGTGTGGCATCTGAAAGGATATATAATAAACAATTGAGATTCAAGATAGAAAAAAAGAGGAAGGGTTTTCACTGCAAGTTTTCAATATTGTTTTCATGTTTAACCATACGATTAGATGCCTGTTCAGAATAGTAAAAAAAGAAAGAAAGAAGTTCAGGATCTGTTCCATGTCAGCCAAAACCGCGGTGATGATGGAAAAAGTAGGTGCTGCATGAGGCAGACTAAAAAAATGGGGGTGTTTCCCTTCAGAAGGACAAAGTGGATGCTGCATAAGATCGAAAGTCTATGGCCCTGGCTGGTTTAGCCCATGGATAGAGCGTCGGCCTGTGGACTGAAGGGTCCCAAGTTCAATTCTGGTCAAGGGCACAGGCCCGGGTTGTGGGCTCGATCCCCAGTAGGGGGTGTGCAGGAGGCAGCCCATCAATGATCATCATTGATGTTTCTATCTCTCTCTCCCTCTCCCTTCCTCTCTGAAATCAATAAAAATATATTTTAAAAAGTAAAAAATAAAGTCTATGAAATTATGAACCCAGGTGAGCCGGAATAAGTGGAATCCCTTCCTCACAAAAGACATATGCGAAGATGTTTCATGCTCAATAAAACAATATTTATTTCATTTTTAAATAACAAATAACTCAACCATATACAGAACTTATAATTTATAACAACAAACTTCCTTAACACCTGTAATGCTCCTAAAAGGGGAAGACAGGGAACATGGGTGGGCAGAAAGGAATGCGCAGAACGCGGTGCCGCGGATCTGGACATGGGCACCCAGAGTGGGGCCAACAGGTGGCTGGGCGCCCAGGGAGGGCCGGGGAGAAGCGTCCATTGCTGTGACCTCTGGTTTGAGGACGAGGCTCAGGTTCCCTGGGGAAGCAGATGCCCCGGGGACCCTGGCAGCGCCTCCTGAGCGCGCCTGCGGCTCTTCCACGAGGTGGGGCACTCGCAGCCATGGCACAGCGGTTGCTCTGAACAGACAAATGGTCAGTGAGCCTGCAGCTCTCCAACGAAGCCGCATAAGCCAACAGTGACGGTGAAAACGGGGCGGAGGAGGGCCTTCCTCCCACCTGTGCAGGGACTCGTGCTCAGCACAGGGGGCAGGGGGCGGCAGAGCTCGGCATGTCTGCTCCTCTTACAGCCAGCGGTTGTTCCAGAGAAAGCGCAGCAGCGCGCGGCCTCCCGCATGGAAAACCACCACAAACTGCGCCAGTGCCTCTCTGCCTTCCCGCTGGGCATTCTGTTCACAAAGAGAGAGGGGGTGTGTTTGTTTTAAGGCAATAGAATAATCCGAAGTGGGAAATTCAGTATTAATGTTAATTCAATCAATACCAAAAGCGCGCTCTGGGGCTGCTGTATGATGTAGAAGCTGGAGGAGACTATGTTGAGGGTGAGTGATGCTCTCCCCTGCACCTGTTCTCCCACCTTAACCCCCAGCTAATGGGGGCCCTCTTTTCAGGGCTGATGCCACCTCCTCTGGCTTCCCAGGGCACTTTCTCCGTCCTCTCAGAGAAGCAAGGAAGCTTGCGTTGGGGTTGGAAGAACTGATGGGACTCTGATGGGACCCCTAACATTCCTCATCCCCTTCCTTGCTTTATTTTCCTCCAAAATATTTATGACCGTCTGATAAGTGATGTATTTCATTTATTTATTACTTGTCTCCCTTGAGAATATAAGCTCCCTGATCTCAGGGAGTGTGTCTGCCTTGGTCACGGCCCTGTCTGCAGTCCGGAAACAGCCCGACACACCAGGTACTCAGTACCTGTTAGCCGACTGAATGAATGAATGATAAATCATTAGCGGCAGGTTAAGGACTTTAGACTTTGTCCTGACAGTAACAGGAAACCACTAAAGGATTTTTCTCTCTTATAATTTATATTCATTAGGAAGATGAATGAATTTCCTTCCAGCAAGGCAGACAAGAAAATGAGCGCTGAGCCAGATGCTGGGATAGGTGACCAGATCTCTCTGAACCTCAGCTGCTTCTCTTGAAACACCTGTACCACGAATTGATAGGGTTCCTGTGAGAATTAAATGAAAGGAAAAGCTGTTTTCCCTCTGCCCTCTGAGAGTGTTTTCAAAGAGTACCTGGAAGAAAGCCTATATAATAAACCCTAATATGCAAATTCAACCAACGGCAGAATGACTGGTCG